ATGTCAGGGACCACACGGTGTGTCAGGGACCACACGGTGTGTCAGGGACCACACGGCATGTCAGGGACCACATGGCATATCAGGGACCACAAGGTGTGTCAGGGACCACACGATGTGTCAGGGACCACACGGTATAACGGACCATACGGCATGTCAGGGACCACACGGCATGTCAGGGACCACACGGCATTGGAAGGACCACACGGCATGTCAGGGACCACACGGCATTGGAAGGACCACACGGCATGTCACATCATCGCAAAAAGAATGTTATGAATATTTGGTGATAATCACCCCTGCTGACATAATGAAGGTGATAATCACCTGACATGATGAGAGTATAATCACCCCTAGTTGACATAATGAGGGCGATAATCACCCCAACTGACATGATGAGAGTATAATCACCCCCAGCTGACATAATGAGGGCAAAATCTCCCCTGCTGACGTGATGAGAGTATAATCACCCCCAGCTGACATGATGAGAGCATAATCACCTCCTAGTTGACATATTCAGAACTTAAATCACCACCACTATCTGAAATGATGAGGACATAATCACCCCGATAGGACGAGTATCAGCTCACCTTGGTGTCGTTCCTGACAAGGACGTGTCTGACGTCAGCTGAACGTTTCTTGAGGTCAGCGATGAGGAGGTCAGCGTGGTCAGCGTCAGCCGCAACCGTCAGCAGCATGATAGGCTCTGCCAGCCGACAGTCAGCTTCTGCAAGCAGCTGCAGAAGTGACGACATTACGATGCTGACACGCGAGCTGACGAAGTCACTAAGTCCGATAAGTCCAATAAGCCATAAGTCCGATAAGTCCAATGAGCCAAAGTCCAATAAGCCATAAGTCCGTTAAGTCCAATAAGCCATAAGTCCGTTAAGTCCAATAAGCCATAAGTCCGTTAAGTCCAATAAGCCAAAGTCCGATAAGTCCAATAAGCCATAAGTCCGTTAAGTCCAATAAGCCAAAGTCCGATAAGTCCAATAAGCCATAAGTCCGATAAGTCCAATAAGCAATAAGTCCGGTAAGTAGTAGTAGTAGTAGATTTTTCCCATAAGACCTTAGGCAACATAGGTACCATTCTACCTACCATAAGACCCCTCAGGTAACAAGAACCTATTTTTTGCTTTAAGAACCCAGAGTTCGTTCAGACCTTAGGGGCACACACCCAAGGTCGTGCTGGAAGCACCCACTACCTACGGCAACCAAATGCCACACACCAAAAACACCGAAAAAAGTACAGAGATTACCAAGGTTCCAGCCCAGAGCTAACTCCTCTTATCTTGGTGCCGCCATCACTGTGCATACAGTGGCGCTAACCACTGAGTTACAGTGGCCTCTAGCGCTTCAGAAAATCCTAATCCATTTCGCGCCGAAGGTTCTATTCTGATTTACGCTGCGCCGTCGTTCTCGAGAGTTTCTGATTTGCAGTCTGGTCCACTCGGCGGTGGTGGTCGTTTCTTGATTCCAGTGCGGATGTCCGCACTGGAATCACTGGAACGGTTCCCACATCGCTCGGTTCAGCGGTCAAGGCTTGCTGTCGCGAGGATTGGGATACGAGTCGTATGATGAGTGTGTGAGTGACA